AGAGAGAGAGAGAGAGAAGAATAAACAGATAAAATCTTCACAGAAAACGAATGGAGATTCAGACAGGCTTGACGTAAACGAGTTGTACAGCTGTTCCTATAAACATTAATCAAAGTTAACTGAGGTCCATCTAATTCGCTGTCTCTCTTTTTCTCTCTCCAAATATTTCTAGAGAGAAATTTTAAAGAAAATAGAGTAATGATTGAAACATCAAATTAAACTCTTAATTAAACTATCGATCTCTTATCAATTTTTATAGAAACGAATTGATTGCGACGTTGTAGCGTTCGAGTAGAGTTTTTCCGCGGGAAAAAGAACGGGAAAGACAAAGAGAAAAACGCGGTCTTCTGTGTACATCAGCGGGGTTTAAGAGTGACACGGCCGTGTACATATGATGTCAGCTCGCATCATCGGGCAAAAAGTAGGTCTAGGGAATCAGCTGGCCGAAAGAGGCGCGTGCGCCAGCCGAGACGCCCACCTAGCGATCGCGCTCTCCTGGAAACAGCGATTTCGTAACAGTATAATAAACGCGGAGCAATGTGCCGAGTCGTTACGTTTGTTTCGACATATGTGACACGTATGATATGGCAGGTTTAATGGAACAGTCGTGAGACACTTTTATAAAACTGAAGAAAGCTCGACAGAATAAAATCCACGAAACGGAAATGTGGCAAGCGCGATAGAATCTAATCGCGTCACAAAGGGAATTAAAAAATTTGTAAAGCGTATAATATGCTAATTAAAGATATTATCTATACAACTTTTAATTGAGAGAATAAAATTTCTCTGTAAAATTTGAGAGAAACTAATGAGAATCTGCTTTTTGTATAATCTCACATTTCTATTTTTTGAAATGAAAGATTGTTACGCTGCTCCAATTACATTCTTACCTACTTTTTATTTCGTAACGTAGATTGCATATTACGCAGACACGGCCATGACCGAATGAACGTTTAGAGCGGACAAACATAGTCAAGGTTGACGCGACATTTACGCAAAAAGATGCGCGAATCACTCACCGGTCGAGGTTCATCACGGTATAATAGCAATTGCGGAGATTTATCTAATTGCTCGCGCCGAGTTCATTAAATTCAACGTCGCTCATGAATAGGAAGATGAACAGAAAGAATGTTCATTTTGAGAAAAAGAATTTCTGAAAGCAATCAATGAAGTTCGGCTGTTTAATTGTAAATTTATTCTTCCGCGATTTTTTAAAGAACATATAAAATTTTGTGTTCACATTTTATATAAATAGGTACAAAATTTTATATACCGTTCTTTATAAAATCGCAGAGGGATAAATCTACAATTAAATAGCTGAACTTTATGGATTATTTTCAAAAATTCTGATCTTTCTCAAAATGACGTGGTCTGTTTTATCAAGAAACTTGGATAATTAATCCTTGAATTATTGAATTAAATAATTAAGATTCCAGTGATTAATGACAGGAAATGTTCAGTTTCAGAAAAATAAGAATACTAACTTTTGAAACTGAGAAATAACAACTTATATACTAGCATTAAATTAAAATGTCAAAGCTATTCTCTAAATAGAATGCTGATAGCATATCAAACATTTGATAATTTGTATGTATCATGTATCAAACTAATTAAAAACATACCCAAATTTCATTAAAGCTCTGTAAAAACTGAGCGAAACTGATAAGAATCTGCTCTTCGAAATTTCACGTTTCCACTGAAAATTGCAATTAAATAACTGCGTCAGCGCATTTGCATCAGTTAAAGGTTGAACTGATTAAGCTCGTGATCTTTGTCAGCTAAAACGTAACGTTACTCTCACGGCTCTTATTAAAGTAATATGACACAACTATGGTGGCTTCCGCGGTGATTAATGCTCGCTTCTCCAAGACTCATTTTTAATGAACAAGGTAATAAGAGAATGATCCATCACGCGGGTGTACTCAATCTCGCTTTCCCTTTCGCACGCCGCAGACATGAAGTACTCGCCGCAGCAGCAGCAGCAGCAGCAGAAGCAGCGGAAGTCGGAGAGCAGCGACGCCGCGTCCGTAGACGCGACCCTCAGCCGAACATCGGCGTCCGTCGCGCAGGAGCAGCGCAAGAGCTCGTCGACGTCGTCGTCGACGCGGCCGGCCGTCTGCCGTTCGCCGTCCACCGGCATGTTCGCCTGGATGCGCGTGTTCCGGCTGGCGTCGATGCTGCACCAGGTCGGCTGCTAAGGCGGCCGCTCGCGCGGCCGCAAAGCCGTCTTGGGGGCGGGCGAGAATGCGAGAGAAAGAGCAAGAGTCGCTAGAATCCGTATTAATATCTCTTAAATAATTTCAGATTAAATAATTAATATCGTACAACACAGCGGCGACGCGCGTAGCGCACGGACGCGATGCGGCGGCGGTGGCCCCCCTGTTTCGTCCCCCTTCGCGTCGCGTGATTTACGTGTATATACGCGTATACATACATATATATATATATATATATACATATATATTTATACACGGCCGAGTCGTTAACGTAGAGACGCGGCCGAATATCGTAGCCCGATCATAGTGCGTTACGTGATAGCGCGGAATCGCGCATAGTCTCGCAGCGGAGCATGCGATCCGCCGCGTAGAGATGTAAAACAGCTGGGCCGCGCCCGGGTTTTATCGCCGCCCTGTGGCGCAAGTAGGAGCACATTTAAAGATATAAAAGATGTATTTCTGTCACACTTATACGGATGATTCGTTTATCGTGTACTTTCTTGCCCGACAACACGCGGCGCATTTACCTCCCGTCTGATCTTTCAGCAACATTTCATATTCGTCTATCCGTTCATTGCGTTACAAGGACCTCACTGATCGTCACATTCTATTCCGAATAATCTTTCGTTCCGTAATCCTATGTGAAATTCACAATTTATTTCATTCATGATTGATGAGTGTGTACCGACAATCTGACAGCTCTTACATTAATTTATTCCAAACATCTCCTGCGGATATTGGCGCGGCCCCAATCGCCACGCAGCCGCGCGCAAAGCAGAAAGAAATAACACGCGTGTGTTCAGCGAGTAACATCGTGCATTTCTCTGTACATAAATAAATCGATTAGGAGTCACAATGCGAGCGGGGGCTACGAGGAATCGCGCAGCAATTTGAACCGCGTAATGCGAAACTTAATTGAAGAGATGGCTCGACAAAGCGGAGGCTGCCTCGGCAGAAAGGGTGTAACAATGACGACATTACTCGCGTAACACACGGCAATTAGCCGATCAGTCGATCAATCGATTCTCACGAGCAGCCTCGAAATCGGAGGTGCTTCCGTGTTACTTAGAGAGAATGGTTTTCCTTCCGGACAAACACGCGTGACTCACGCGTCGAATACACGTCTGCCATAGTGATATGACTTGTAGTAAACTACGAATGTTCGCAGTGTCGCGACGCTCTGCAAGTTGACGTTCGATTTCGATCTGTAATCCCGCGATCCCATCTTTCAGTTTTTCTTCCCCCTCCCCCCCTTTTCCGCCCCTTCGTCCCATTGTTCAATCGATGACGTCAATACACCGTTGCGCACCGTGGGTTCTATTTTTATATAGTATGTACAAACGACGCGACGAGAGAGTGACATGCCGTTTCTCTCTCTCTCTCTATCTCCTCTCTTTTTTTTTCGCGAAAACGTCGTGCTTTGTCACGAGCAGGAGAAAAATGGTGAGACCCGGTTAACAAGGTGCCCTCGGAGGCAGCAAGGAAGTCACGTAACTTCCTCTAGGGTGTCTGCGATTACGTCCGATTCCATTCCCCTGTTAATTGTCTCGTCACGTTCAACGCCGAGCTCTATCGATGTTATATCTCGTTGATCGTTACATGGATATATTTTATGATTGCGCAGATTCACTAATAAATTAAATATTTGCTTTAACTCGTCCCGAGACTATTATTTTTCCCCTACTTCGACTAATCCCGACGGCTCGTTCCATGCAAAATATACGAATGGACATAATACAAATGAATTGTACGTAATTATTGAAAGTTATTTTTCGATAGAAAGTCTACAAATTAGAGAGAGCAGGTTGAAATCCTATATGATTTATCAGAATTAGCGATTATTTGTCGTTAACCTCTCTTTCTTAATTTTTAACGAGCTAGTATAACTTGAAAGCATAATTAAACAACATTTAAAAAATTTATTAAATTTCAAAACCAAATATCAAATATGTGAATAACATATTTAAAATTTAAAGAATAATATATAAAACTTGTGGTAATTTTATTTGATAAAAATACGATATGATAAGATAATTAAACAATTGTTAGAGAAAAACACCTGAGAGTGATGTTGGGTATTTTTCATGATTCCTGTCCAACATCACAAAAAATCTGCTATTTTACAATTGAAACTACAAAACCACATCTATTTTTCGATACCATTATTTGATACTATTAAATTACGATACTGTTATTTGATATTATTGAAATACGTATTATTGAATCCACATTATATTCATAAATTGTGAATTAAGAATAAGATTCGTGTACGCAAAGTCAGTTATAAAATATAACGCAATTTCAACTTTAGATGCAGATATTGTTATCAATAAATATAAATCGATAGGCAACGATAGCATTAGTGCATCGAAAAAATAAATAATATCAATATTCATTAGCCGTAGATGCGTATTTTGGACGTATAGTCCTCTTGACATTCAAAATATGTTTTAAATTATAATATCTGTATGTATGCGTATCCTTATATTCAACAGTGAAAGATTCATACTCCAGATTTAAATATTCAACATCAATCTACGTTCCAGCCTATTTATTTTAAAGCAAGGAACCAATGAATTGTTGTATTTAATATTTACAATATTTATACATGACCTTAATTTCAGTCTTTTAATTTTTCCAATCTGGGAATATATATTTGACAATTTTTGCAAACTCATTATTTTGATATTAAAATAAAATAATTTGTTTACGACTTACCAGTGATGCGCAGCAGCGGAGTTGTAGCTTATACGTTGATCTGTAAAATATAAAAATATATATATTGTAAATTATAACAGCTGTATATAAGAACATAACTAATACTATAATACTACTAGTTACTACGTATATTGAAATTTTGACTTATATTTCAAGCAGATTTGATCATAATTGCCGAAAAAACCTAATTCTTGTATAAATATTTGCAATAATAATTAATGTCTTTTTTATTCAACATGTTAAATATATTGAAAATATCTGCATTATGGGAATAAACGATTAATACATCCATCAATAATAAATAATAAATAAATAATAAATTATTCACCTTAAAGTTGCTCCACCGTTGCCGGATGCCCCCTGGGCCTCTCCCTCCTCTCAGTTGTCCATCGATGGCTGCTTTTTCACAAAATACTCGCGAAATTACGATTAATTACGGTCGCGCGATATTGCACGGCACTCCCGATACGTATTTTGCAACACTGATTAAAAAATATCTCGAAAAAACGCGATCGCACGGAACTGCTATGTACAGAGCAGGCAGTTAAGCAAAAAAGAGAATTGCTTTGCAATTTTGTACAGAATTCGCTGCGGCTATGTTACTCTCAAACTACTTTTATCAAGTTTATACGCTTTTCGCACGCCAAAAATAGTATGAAAAATAGTAAATCTACAATTATTAGCGGGAATAATAACCTAATACTTATTGCGATAAGAATCTGTAAGATATTAACGCAACGATATGGAGCAAATTTTGCTACCGCCCGCTCTGTGCGAGGGTTGTCGCGCGAATAACGTGAAGGTGATAGCGCGGAAGCAACTACGCACGTACCCCGTGTTGTCGTAAACCAAAACAAAGAATTCTTGGAACGCGTGACGTAGTTGTTTTGGTATGTGTTTATCCATCCTGGGCTAAAACAGAAATAAATATCGATATTTAACTCTAGAATTTTTGTAATTACTTGTCGTTATACTGTCTATATAAACTATATATACATAGATACATAGAAATTGTAAAATAAAATATATTTTGCATGCCGAGAAAACTGTGCACATAAGATTTTTAAATAATAAAAACATAAAAATGCAAATTTTAGTATAAAATTTATTATTTATTTAATTAATTAAATTTTTGAGATCAACATTTAAATAGTAAAGTATATAGAAGAATCAAAATAAATAAAATATAATTACAAGTAAATTATTGAACATGGAATTAGACATGGTGTTTCATTTGTTCACTTTATGATATTCATCTCCTGAACATAATGAAAATGGGACCAAGATGAAAGTAAGATATACATTTATATATGAAAAATAAAAATAAATTATATAAATAAAATTAATTTTTCAAAATATCTATATAACATGATAAAATAAGATTATTAATTTTATAAATGTTTTCTTTTATTTTTTTCTTTTTCCTGTTTTTCAAAGAAAGTAAGATTTTTATATTTTTATATTTTGCTAAAACTAAAAATTATATAAAATAGAAAACCAATATACAGAATATTTCTGAAATACGTATGTAGAGAAATTTTCTAAAATATGTATAAATTATAGATAGACAAGAAATTTTTCATATAGTATATTTTAACTAATTTATTTAATAATAAAGAGAGAGAACGTCCACAATCAATCTGTATTGATCATATTTATTCCTACAATACATTCACCTCACTCTAATCTTTTTTTAGCTTACTCATCCATATTTATCGATAAGAGAAAATCTGTTAAAGATATCTAATTTAAAGTTAAAAATAAATTGTATTGTATTTTATAATTGAATCTGTACACATATTCTTCTTGATCCACAATTTATTGACATGTAACAAATGGCATTGTTGAGAAAACTGGATATGACTATATAGTTTGAATTGGAAATGGATTATGATAGTCCGCGCACAGTACTGAACAAAGTTCGATAACCAATTTAAAAAAAAAAAACGCTAAAGTAGTTTCTCAAGCTTCTCTCAATGAAGAATAATTTTCAATACTTGAATATAATTTACTCATAAAAAAATTTTAATAAGTAATTATTGATAAATGATTTCTAACAAATTTATTTATTATTTCTCTGTAAATTTGCGATGATTCGTTATATAACGAAAAAAGCATTTTTTCTTAATTCGCGCTTTCTTTTTGCTTAAAACATTTTGCTATGACATTTGAGTTTGTTTAATGATTTGACAAACGAATGAAATGCTTACAATTTTCCTTTCAATCGTCTTTTTTAAATAGCTTTCACTTCCAAGCGTTCAAGAAAATATTTTTAGTAAATTAGAAGGAACTTTTCGAAGTGTTTTAAGTTAGTTTACTTTATCTAAATGACGAATTGTTTAAGTAAATACTATCCTTTCGCAAATTACTATGCTGTTGTTCTTACACGTTTAGTTCATTTTAATAAATAGGAACTAAACAAATCTTTATTGATGCAAGTTATTATTTAAATTCTAGTCGAATATGTGTTTAAAACGTTTTTGAATTTTGCAATTTTGTTTGGTAAAAAAATAGAATTATTTTCACGAATTGTTCTCACGAGTAAATTAATTATCAATAGCTGTGTAAGCAAACAACCGTGATATTTTCATCGCTCCAATGAATTATGAATCCAAATTCGTACTTTAGAAAGTTACTAATTTGCTAAAATATTGAACAAATAATACTTATTCCATGTTTTGTGTAATCATGCAAGTATAATGAATGAGCTCACCGGTCGTTGTACCCTAATTGTAAGTATGCATTCAGCTATACTTGAAAAAATGGATGTATATTTTTGTTATTATAAAATCATATATTTTTTTATTTACGTTTATAATTATTGACTAATTTACATTTTAATTATAACACAATTATGCGTGATAAGTTGCATAAATAATTATTTAAGTAAATATTTTAATAAATAATTATCTAGCAAATGCAAATCATAATTGTGTATGTATATCTTATCATAATTATGTACATATTCAAATAACGGATATATATATAACGGAAATAATTGTATTCACCTGTTAAGATATCGTAGTTTGCTTCTGCAGATTGTTCCATTGCCAATTTTTTAGGCCACTCTGCATACGCTTCATCGAAAAATCGTTGAATACTGAAAATACACACTGAATTACGCGCACGGACGAAAATTACTATAACACTTTACTTTAAAAAAAAAATCGTATCGTGAATGCATCGCACCATAATACACAAAACACAAAATATAACGAACTTTATGTAATTATATATCAATTACTATAGCTTGTTGAAAGGCGAGTGAAGTGTATAATTTTTATCTTAGCAGTTTGTAATATATCTCAATATTAAAAGACATGATCATACATATAAAATAAAAGCATTCGACATTGTCTGAATCGAATTACAGTATCAAAAAAGTCGACAATTGTTATAAAAAATGCAATAACTTCTAACTTCAATAATAATCTATTATTAAAATTACATACATATCTTTTGCGAGTTTGCATATTTCTCTTGAAAAACTTAACCTTTGCGTTTTGATATTGCTACGTCAGATTTTCATTTTGGAAATGCGAGACGAATGATATTACATTTTGTAAGTTCGCGACGTTATTCTAAGTGGCATTGCATTCAAAATTACTCATAAATGATGATTCTTACGTAAATTAAAATCAGAGTGTTAAATCTTTGCAATATGCCTTACATACGTTTAGAAAATGACTACGTTGTTTCTGGTTTCGAGAACACGGTGCGCGGGAATATTTTGATACATGACCAACTTCACATTACCTTCAGTTACCTGCAAAAGAATCACTTTGTATATTTTATTTCGCATATGATATTGATATGATATATTTTGTGAACTTATGTGTTCATAAATAATATATAATAATTGTAATAATAAAATATGAAATTAGATTGCGGCTCTTATGATTAGCATGGTTAAGATAATTGATAAACATATGTTAAGATTGCATGCAGTACATTATAAAATAAGCATAATTGTGATTAACATAAATGCAACAGTTTCTTACAAATCCAATAACTGTTCATTATAACTCAGAAATTTGTATTTGTTATGCGCTTTTAACGAGTATAAAATACGCGACTAAATGCTCGCGAGAGACCAACAATGCCAAGCCGTTTTGTTGTGTGCATAGTAATCTTTCTTGAATAACAAGATAATGTGCATTATAAGGATCTGGAATATCATGATAAGAATCAGATATTCTACAAACCTTTCAACAAGTTATGATTAATTGATGTTTCATTCAGTGTATTTTATAATAAGGTTAAGTTGTTCTCTTTCCGCGCCGAATTCTACACAATACAGAAGTAATCCTACCTGTATCATACTACTAGCTCCGCCTATCGATCACTATAATAGTTATAACGGAGAATAGAGCACATACTTATCTATAAGTGATATTACTTATATTACAAACTGCATTACCGATTGCGTAGAACATATTAATAATTGCTGTCGACACTACGCGCGCTACTAGTTAGCCGCCATGACAGTACTTACTTTTATCTCTTCAGACTGTAGCGCGAATGTCATACGTTGATTATTCATTTTATCCGTATCAATCTGTTCTAAAAAGATAATAAGTGCTTAATTTTGCTCGGAATGATGATTAAAATAACAGGTGATTATTATTTTTATCGGGAGTGTTCGCGTTATCGGTATTCCGTCGTCGATCGTCGCTGGTTCGACATCGGTGCGTATCCAATATGATGAGTAGAGACAACGATACTTCAAATACAATGCGAAAATGATTCCTATATGCTTAAAAACATCGAATATGATGTATTTCTTATTAAATCAAGTAAAACAATTGCTACTTTATGTGACGCATATGTGACGATCTCTGTCACAGCTAGTCGTTGTCTCATTCGCTTATTTCATTTGTCTGTCTCACTCCCTCACTTGAAATATGTACATTGTCGAACAATTAACGGTTGAATGTTAAATAATAATCGTGTACGGACACGTCGCAGCAGTAAAGTGAGTTTTAGTTCGCGTTTGTATTTCGTGTATGTACCAGCAAATTTGTGTAACAAATTCGTTCTATCTGCGTTCTATTTTCTTATTCTTTTGAAAGTGAAGTGTATGTGATGAGCTGTAGATTTTCAATATTCATCAATTCTTCAATGGAGCTGAAGAAACTCAAGATGGAGTATACGGCGGTTAGAGCAAACTTCAATACTCTATCTGGTATGCAAAGTTATTTATTTATTATTTAGATGCTTAATTGTGATAACACTCATATGCAAATATAATAATATATTTATTAATGTATTTATCAAAAATTTCGTATATCTTTATGTAATTTATTGCACAAGGTTACGTTTGCATAAGATTATGTTTTAATTAAAATTGAAATAATTAAATAATATGTAATAATCAGCATACATAAAATATATAACTTATATATATATATATATATATATATTTTATATATATAATTTTCTGACGTTAGGTGCGCTGATGGCGCTGAGAAGCTGCGCGGCGCGCGCTTACGATTTGACATTTTTACATAACTTTTCAGATCAGAAAGTGTTATAAAAAAATAATAATAAAGTAATAACAAAGTTTGTCGTGCACTCTTGTCAAATAATTAAAATAAGAATTATTAAGTCAAAGCAATAGATAGAAATACGTAAAATTTACAATTTAATCGTCCAATATATGTCAGATTATTGTATAAAAAAATTTTTACTTTTATGTAATTTCATATTCAGAAAAAGATGATGAGTAATTGTTTATCTCAAAAATCACAAATTAAACACATTTAACCATTGATTGTTTAAACAACTGACATATTTTAATTATTCTGACATGAGTGTTCATTGTGATACGCCGCACAATCTGCTTTATCTGCGAAGATAAGCATGTGATGGACGTAGCTCCGCAGGGGGGCGATAGTAGGATGTTGGCTGAAAGCAGCCAAAGTAGTCGGCGCGCGCTTGGGAAGAAAGACTGGTCAGTTGTGCGCGAACGCAGTTTCTCCCGGCGCCCGGTATCGCGATCACACGCTTTTTCCGGTATCGCAGATAGAAGCGCACGAGCGCGCTACGCGGATCGTGGCGCGGAGTGCGACGTTTTTCGCGGGAGTCTCGAGCGCGAAAACCAACAAACCGTTGTTTGTTCGACATTCCAATCCGACATCGGAATTTCCAACCGCCGCCAACGGGCAACTTCGCGCTGCTCGCGCGAGCGAAACGACTTGCTGTCGCCGGTTCGATCCTGTCGCGCGATCTGAATGAAACATGCGGCGACCCTTGACCCGCCATCTCTCCGAGGGTGGCGGCGGCGGCGGCGGTGCTACGACCACCGACAGCGGTAGACGACAACGTACGTCTGTGAAGGAAGGCAGCGACGAGCGCGGATACACCTGGGCCTGCCGCGATTACGGCCATCACCTGTCGTTCGGCGACCTCCTCAAGGCCCCCACACCCCTGGCTGACTGCCGCGGCCGCAACACAGTCTCCCAGGAGCATCGGAGCGTCGCAATCCACAGGTAGGGTGCTTAACCCCGTTACCTTTTGCCCCTCTTTTGTGTCCCCGTCGTATCTTCCCCCTCTCATTGTTCCGTGCTTCCGCCATTGCGTTGCCGCCGCTATCGGGTTTTATATCGGCGATTTATATTCGAATTGAACTCTTCGAAATCAAATCTGTGAATTTCAAAAACAATGTCGCTACATTAAAAAGTTCGGTCGTTATGATATCGCCTCATTGTGGGTTATTAATGAATCGTGCTATCTCGAGCCGAACGCTTCCGGCGTTACTATTCTCGTGAAGGCCGAGTAAATATCTTTTATACGACTGAATAAGATTCATTTGTTAAGATCAACATTGCCTGTATAATACGCTGTAGTACGCATTAGTATCACAAGGTTATAAGCGCTATTATTGATGCTGATCGGACATTGCGTCATGAATTCTATTCATTAATTTATTGCGCACGTACATTCACCGTTATATCGTGCTGAACAATAATTTCTAAATAATATTCATATTCTCACAAAAAGGAACAAGTATTATTTCTACATACTAAAACTTTACAAGTTCTTATATATATTTTGTCTGCAAATTATAAATAACTTCACTGTAATCGTATCATCATTAATTATCGGTTTGCAAATATGATAACTTTAAGGCTTTGTATAATTTTATTGCAAAAATGATTTCCCGCGTTTGCGCGAATGAATTTTAAGTACGATGTTCCGCGTCAACTTCTCGAATCGCGTATAACCTGTTAACACACGGCGAGTACACCGTCATATTTGCTTTACATAACGAAGAGGGTCGTTTATCAGGTTGGAAGAGAGGGTTGAGAGAGAGGACATCCTCATTCCAGGTTACATCGGCCTGGACTGGCAATCGTCGATCGGGCCGTGTCGGAGAGCGGAGATGATCGTTGAGCAATAAATTAGATTCGCTAGGTACCGGGAATTATGCGATCGCGGTGCGGCAGGCAAGTAGGGCGGCAGGCAGCGTTAGGGCGGAAGTACGGAAACGACCTTGAGGAGAGGAGCAGCGCGCGCTCTCTCGCTACCTCGATCGAGGCGGGATGACCCCGCTATTTCGATTAGCTAACGGAGCTACCGTTCGTTGCGAGACCGGGTAACTGGGTCATCTAGGTTTTTAAAGGCTTCGCGCCCTTTCCCCGCTATTCATCATGATGAATGAGGCGCGTTATACTAACGCGGCGAGCGGCAAACAAATCGAGAGACCGGCTGCCAATCAGATACGCCGCCGATTATGTTGGCTAGGCATTATTTTTTTGAAAAACGTGGAATTCTTTGTTTAAAGAATTTATGAAAGTGTGTATTTGCATTTTTCTGGTGCATTTTATGCGCGGAAATTGCAATACTAATTATTATTATAATGTAAGATGTGTGTTAGACTTTGTAACATTTTTATCTTAAAATATATTTTAATGTTATTAAAACGCCAAATTCTACAAAATACTTGATCCATTTAAATCTTAGAAATCGCAGCATTTATATTGAATTACAGAAATGTTGAGTGCTTCTAAGAAATCGGCATTTTGTGCAATCACGGAGGTATCCATAAAATATTGACGTTCAGTCTCGATATCGTTTCGATAAGCGAGCTGCCGATAAATGGATTTCTGCCGTATTTGATTATCCTGTCAGTAAGATGGAGTTCGCGAAATTCCATCACGACTCGCAATATCCTGCAAACTTCTGAGCAAAGATGAAGAGTAATGAATTATACTAAATATAATAAGATGTTAAACGTATTATGGAAAGTAATAAGGCGTGTCTCGTATCTTTCGATTCTATCTAATTACAACTTCCTATATTTGCAAACACATTTCTTTGTATTTCGAATAACATACGGAATTGCTTTTTACTTAACAAACACCTTCGGGCCCGTAAGTTTAATGTTATCGCGCCAATCCAAACATTTTCGGTCATATCAGCCGCCGAAATTAGCATCACTTCGAATATTGCATGCAAACGTCTTCCTTATCAGCGCCGTTTGAGGGAACTGCGGGACAAGCTCGGGAACCGCTCGTTATCGGCTCGCTCGAGGGCTTTCCTCGTTCGTAAACCGCGACGAGATTCCGGGGATTCGAATGCAAATTTGATGTATCGCTGGTGTCGTGCGCGCGGAGGACGCGCATCGATTTCGGATGAAGATTAATGACCGCGCGTTAATGACGGCGGCAGCGACAACGACGACGGCGACGGGGGGGTCGTGCAAAATAATTCTGCTAAATTTGA